ATTCAAGCAGTTCATGAGCAAAGCAAGCGAGACCAATTTTTGATGAAATTACGCTCCGACTTTGAGAGTGTTTTCTCTAACTTGATGAATCGTGACCCGTCTCCCTCTTTGGATGTTTGCTTTAGGGAATTACTTCGTGAAGAGCAACGTCTTGTCACACAAAATGCTTTTAAGAAAGAAAATGATGTCACTGTTGCATTTGCTGCTCAAGGTAAAGGAAAGGGCAGGGATATGAGTAGAACTCAATGCTACAGTTGCAAGGAATATGGTCATATTGCTAGCAATTGTAGCAAGAAGTTCTCTAGTTATTGTAAACAACAAGGACACATTATCAAAGAGTGTCCCACGCGCCCTCAAAATCGTAGGATCAATGCTTTTCAAGCTGGGATAAATGATTCCACTAATGGTACAACAAATGATTGTGTCAGCTTTTTCAGCATTGGGATTACAAGGTAATGATGTTACATCTAATTTTTGGATTGTTGATTCAGGTGCTTCCAATCATATGACCAACTCAACGAGCATCCTAAAAAATGTTCGGAAGTATCAAGGTCCTTCACAAATACAGATTGCCAATGGTAGTAATTTACCCATTACCAAGGTTGGGGACATTACTCCACCTTTCAAGAATGTTTTTGTTTCACTAAAGCTCTCAACTAGTCTTATTTCAGTTGGACAATAGGTAGATAACAATTGTGATGTGAATTTTTCTCGTAATGGTTGTCTTGTGCAGGATCAGGTGTCGGGGACGATAATCGTGAAAGGGCCTAAAGTTGGATGATTGTTTCCTATACACTTTTGCATTCCTCATGTTCTATCTTTTGCTTGTACTTCTACTGCTAGTACGACTGAGGTTTGGCATAAGCGTCTAGGACATCCAAATTCTGTTGTGTTGTCTCATTTATCAAATTCTGGTTTATTGGGAAATAAAAAATCAATTTTCAGCTGCTTCCATTGATTGTTCTACTTGTAAATTAGGCAAAAGTAAAACTCTTCATTTTCCTAATTTTGGTAGTCATGCTACAAAGTGTTTTGATGTCATTCATAGTGATGTTTGGGGCATTTCACCAATTATTTCTCATGCTCATTTCAAATACTTTGTGACATTCATAGATGATTATAGTCGGTTTACATGGGTGTATTTTCTTCGATCCAAATCTGAGGTATTTTCCATGTTCAAGACATTTTTGGCTTACATTGAGACTCAATTTTCTACATGCATCAAATTATTAAGGATCTGATTCTGGTGGAGAATATGTCTTATGAATTCAAAAAATTCTTGCTTGACAAAGGAATTGTCTCATAACACTCTTGCCCATATACACCACAACAAAATGAAGTTGCTGAACGAAAAAATCGCCATCTTTTAGATGTCACTCGTACTTTATTGATTGAGTCCTCTGTACCATCTAATTATTGGGGGAAACTTTGTCTACTGCTGTCTATTTAATTAATAGATTGCCATCTAAAGTGCTAAATCTTGAGTCTCCATATTTTCGTCTTTATCACCAAAATCCTAACTATAGTGATTTTCATACATTTGGTTGTGTTTGTTTTGTGCATTTGCATCCTTCACTGCGCAATAAACTTTCTGTACAGTCTACTAAATGTGTTTTAATGGGTTATAGTACTTCACAAAAAAGGTTTTATTTGTTATGATCCATGTTCTCACAAATTTCGTATTTCTAGAAATGCTGTTTTCTTTGAGAATCAGTATTTCTTTCCTACGATTGTAGATTCATCTTCTGCTTCTCCTCTTCTTCCTACTTTTGAGGATTTATCATCTTCTTTTAAGAGGTTCAAACCTGGATTTGTGTATGAACGACGTCGGCCAACTTTATCATATTCCGACACTGATCCGCCACA